CTTGTCAGATACGGAGTATAAGACACATTGCATAAGTGTCACTGTGAAGGAGAGGAGAGGAATAGCATAGTGCCTAGAGGGAAATTAGAGTGCATATATGTATTTTTTAAAACTGTGCAAAATGAGGTTTATCACTTTAAAGAATATTTAGAAAAAGAGAAAGGAAGAAGAGAAAATTTAGATCCAATTTAAAGAGGGAATAACTTATGGAGTAAGAACCCTGAAGAATCCTCTTAATGATAGAGTTTGGGACTCCTAGATAGCACAAACAGGGAAAGAAACTAGGAACTCACAGAAAATAGACAGGAAGATATCTGAGACCAAAATTTGTCAGCAATTTTTTTGATGACATGAAGGGAAATAATATTTGAGGTTTTCTTCTGAATATGAACATAAGTAATGCTTTGAATCCTCTACCCCTCAGAAACATGTGGCCTTAAAGAAGGTGAAGATACTTCTGTTGCTCCAGGAGGAGGAATAACTGCATCTGGAGGCCCTGGAGCGAGAAGCAAGGAGATTTGTCAACAACTCAAGGAGAGTGTGTTCAGAATAACTCAACAGAGAGAAAGTCTGATGCCGGGAGCCAGCACACGAGATCCCACCCATGACAAGGTCGTGAGGAGAATTCCTGACAAGCAAGGCAGATCAGGACTTCAGGGATTTCGAAAAGCTGCCCTGGCGCCCACCTTAAAGATGATCTCTGTCTTTCTGATGCTTGCTATACTAGACTACTCCCTAATTTCTGTGACACGGGTAGACGGCCTTCCCCAATCTCTTTCCAACCAGAATCAACTTAGAACTTTAATCAATATGTCCCCCAGACGGTGGTATCCTATAAGATTATCCAGGATGAAAGGAATGTTTCAATTTAGACCCCTTTGCTGGCATTCTAGCCTGCTTGGCAAATGCGAACTAATGCACATGACTGCTCACAACACATTAATCATAAACAGCATAAAGAACCTGATCACACAAAAGGCCCTAATAGGCACAGAGCCCTTCGGGGGTGAGGAAGCCCTATCAGAGAACACAAAAATATTATTCTAAAAGTGGTTATAGTTAAAGATTCAGAAAAATAAGAGTTTAGAATTGTTAATTTTAACCAGGAATGCTAAACAGGGGCTGCCTCACTGGAGCTGCAGAGTCTTTGTGTGGTAAACCTTTTAGATAAATTTAACTGATAACTTCTGCAAAAGGACTGACCTTTGTGTGCACTAAAGAATCAATTACGAAAAACAGCTTTGCATTCACCTAGGTCAGAAAATGTCAATAGGCCCCAAGGCCAGAAGATAATGTATAAGACTCTCACAAAGAAGTTGCAGAAAACACCCTGGTTTTGTGAAGGATGAGCCGATGTTATATTAAACTATCTTCCCCTTAACATTGTACTAACTTAGAATATAAAAGCTACAGTAAAAAAAATAAAGATTTGCCAGACTCTGCTGCACACCCCCGGTCTGGTCTCTCTCTCTCTCTCTCTCTCTCTCTCTCTCTCTCTCTCTCTCTCTCTCTCGCCGACGCCGTTCATCCTGAGGGTACCCCTGGATCCTGCTGAGACTGGACCCCGGCAGTCTGAGAGAAATGTACAGAGAGCAGACTGAGATGTGCCATAAGCCAGACACGGAGCTGCTCCAGGTGAGAAAGTAGGGTCTGTTCTCAGAGAGAGAAACACTCTTCTAGACGAGCTGCTATGACACTGAAATATTACCTATCCAGACAGATGGTAACAAAATCAGCAAAATTCTGTGACCAGGGGAAAGTGAATTTTCTTGGCATAAATCTCACTCTACATCCCCCTAAACCCTTGTCACTCTCTGCTATCCACACCCTGAAGACACTGAGGTTTTTCCTGTCATGTATGTAAGATATTTAGAACTGGTATCAATTTTAAAGCACTCTATAATTTATTTTATTCAGTTGTCAGTTTTACTTTAATTGTTATTATAAACGGTGAGATTTCTCCCTGAACACATCACTGGGCAGTGAGTGGCACTGGAAACCTAGATATTGATGCATCACGATGCAGACCCTTCCTGCCCCCTTTTCTTCCTTAATGTGCCCTGAGGAAGCCCATCATGTTTTAGTTTAGGCTCTGTTATGAAGATAGCTTCTGAGTGTTCTCTAGAAAAGAATTAGAAAGCCATATCTTATACAGAAACAGGAGTAGTAAAGAATGTGAAAAAGGATAGACCTCTCATGATTAGCATGGTCTTTTCTTTTTTGTTTTTCTTTGACAGGGCTCAGAAAATGTATTCGAAAGGCGAGTATACACTAATGATGTTTGATTTCTGAAAAATTTGTTGTCTTTTTAATGAAGTGGATTTACCGTTGTTCCTTGGGACCATAGGGAATTGATTTCAGGTCCTCCCCCATTCCTAGATTCTAGGATAAAGAATCTTTTGTACAGAATGTAAAGACTCCTTTGTACATAATGCCATAGTATTTGCAGAGAAATTCTAAGCATGTTACTGTATGCTTTGCCATCCCTAATCCACTTATTATAACTAACATATTACAGTGTAAATTAAATGCAACATAAGTCATTCCCTGGTATGTGGCATTTTCAAGTTTTACCTTTTGGGAACTTTCTGTAAATTTTTTCTGATTTTTTTTCCATTCATAACAAGGGCCAAGGAGAAAGGAAGTTTAGACTGGGAATCTGGGATTGACCTGTACACGCTGTGTATGAAATGTAGTTAGAAAAGTGGCTCTACAAGCTCCTATTGTAACATAAACGAATGAATAAATAAATAAATAAATAGCCCAGGACCTACAGACTGAATCCATGTGTGAATCCACAGGTACAGAACACTAGCATATGGATTATCAAGACCGTCTTTTTGGTCATTTTCTATTTTATTTCAAAAGAACTTTAAGGACTTCTGATCCTTGGTCTCAGAAGTTTCCTTTTCATTTGACTGAAAACAAATATACCTGAAAAAGTGAAACTGAAAGTCGCTCAGTCGTGTCCCACTCTTTGAGACCTCATGGACTATACAGTCCATGGAATTCTCCAGGCCAGAATACTGGAGTGGGTAGTTCTTTCCCTTCACCAGGGGACCTTCCCAACCCAGGGACTGAACCCAAGTCTCCCACATTGCAGATGGTTTCTTTCCCAAGTGAGCTAGGAGGGAAGCCCATATACCTGAGAACATGCTGACATTCTTGGCTTTGTTCCACCCACTCACCCCATCCTCTCCAACCTCCCCAAAATAAAACTTAGTGAAGGGATTTTTCTAGGATATCACAGAGGAAGCACCTACCCTAGTGAGTTGGAAGGTGAGAAAATCATGAAAGAAGCATATTCCCCACACATGGCAAGTGAGACTGTGATATTGTGGATACTGAGTAGCAGTGACTCATCCTGTTCCATCACAGCAAGCCCCCTGCAGGCGGGACCTCACAGGGCGGTGCTTCCTGCTGCCCACCCAGGAGAAGTGACTTTCAGGACCAGGGCAGCCAGGTTGGACGTCGGTCACTTTGCTGGATTGACAAGAGTAAACAGGTCTGGTCAGTGAGCACTTGTTTTTGACACAGAATGCATCCTAGATGACTACTTTGTGAGTGAAGTCTCAAAGGCGTAGCCTGAATGTATTGCTCTCTGTAAAATGCCCAGGATCTTGGGATCAACGGAATTGAAGAAGGGAATGAAGTTCAGTGAGTGAAAATTTGGAATAATGTCTAAGAAAAATGGGAAAATCGAAATTTGAGATAATTTCTATTTAGTAAAAAATATGGCAACATTTTTTATATTCTCATGTGAGTAGAATATATTGTATATGCAAATCACCAAAAGTAGAAGAATTCTGACAACATAACCTGGAGTGAAATCTGCTGTTTTGCAATGCTCACGTGGTTAGCCTTTGGCCTTGACATGGAACCGATGTCCTTTGTTACAGGACTGACTTGGCACAGATGCAGAAGCCTCAGCCCGTGAACCCAGAGCTCCCTTCCTGGCCTGTCTCTGGATTCCTACCCATGCTGAACAACTTCAGAGGTAAGAGTCAGCATTTTGATGATCAGGGCTTCATTTCTTTAGACCTTCTTAGCTTAGGAATGAGCCTTCGTTTATTTCTGATATGTATTCTTGGACATGAAGCGGGTGCATAACAGTTGTTAACACCTTTTCTACAACTATAGTCGGATTTCAAACACCAAGGCTGAAGTTTGCCACCTGTAGTTTCCTAAAAATGCCATTCCAAACACAGATATTTAGAGATATTTGACACAGGTAGCAGCAATGAATCAAAGTTCCTGCTTCTCCACATTCTCTCAGTATTTGGTGATGTCCCTCTTTGGGATTTTGAAGATTCATATACATGTGCTGTTGTATCTCATTGCTGTTTTAAAGCTCTTTGCTATTCATATATTTTAATTTTTTTTTCTTCACTCCCTTCATTTTCTCTTATTCTTCGTCCCTTGAGTGAGCAGCCAGTCTTTTATTTTGTTCATTTGTGTGTTAAACATCCTTTTGTGAGATTGATTGCAAGGCACTTTGGGGTGGGATCTGAGGATTTTTAACTGTAAAAGAAGCTTCATAATGCTCAATATGAATCTCAATTCAGACTGAGACAGTCTTCATTTACACTCTTATGGGTAAAGGGAACGACAGAAGGGATATCTCTAAGTACAATGTGCTTCTCTCAGGTATCCCAGAGGAGAGGGGCTTTCTGTCCTTTTTCCACAGATACACAGAATCCCACAGACTGCTGGACTTCAGAAAGCACTCACCTGTTCAATCTTGAGAGTGCAGATGGTGGAAATACTGCTGAGGTGTCTGAACTGCTGGGACCATACATTTCCCAAAAACCTAGAAAACGTGCTGCCTAAAAGCCAAGATAACTGGTCCAGAGAAGACATTCTACAGTTACTGGAGTGTAAAAATAAAAATTTCATCCAGCGACAAGCACATGTTCAAAATAACCCAGTCAGTGATGGACTGGAAAAAAATAGTTTCTAAATAATTTTCTGGGGAAATGTACAAACTCAAATGGTTACAGATTTCCTGTAGTGTGAGAAAGCTTCACACTTTGACAGAATTAGTCCTGGAAGCTAAGGAAAATGTTAACAATCCTTCCAAAAGCAGAAAACACAAGAAACATCCTGATTTACCAAAGAACCCCTTGACAGCTTATCTCCGCTTTTTTAAAGAGATGAGACCTCAGTACCTCCAAAAACACCCCAAGATGAGCAACGAGGAGCTGACCAAGGTTCTGCCTGAGGAATACAGGAAGCTGCCAGAACAGCTCAAGCTGAAATACAGTCAAAATTTCCAGAAAGAGGAACAAGAGTTTCAGGAGAAAATGGCTCTGTTCAGAGAACAGCACCCTGATCTAGTACAAAACTCCAAGAAACCTGATGTCCCCAAAGAAAGTCAAAGCAAAGTGCCAAAGAAGTTTCAGGAAAATGTGCAAAAAGTTAAGTCTCTCCCAGAAAACCATTTACCCATGATGTGGAAATTCCACGGAGAGCCCACGAAGCCCCCGATGAATGCTTATCGCAAGTTACACCAGGATCTCTGGTCAAGCAGGGAACTGAAAGTGGTGCCCACTGGGGAGCGTATGGTGGAGATCAGTAGATGCTGGCAGTGGGTCCCCCAGGACCAGAAGGAGCTTTATAAGAAGCAGGCAGAGGAACTGCAGACACAGTACAAGGTGGACCTTGATCTCTGGCTCAGGACTCTGTCTCCTGAAGAATATGCTGCCTACAGAGAGGTGACCTGTGCTAAACATAGGAACATGAGTGTGAAGGGGAGCCCAAACCCCAAGATTAGAAGGATCGGTCTGCAGTCCCCATCATCAGGGAATTTTCAAGGAAGGCTTAGAGAGGACCAAGGGCTTCAGGCTGCAGAGTCAGAATCATCAGACACGATTGGAGAACATTCTCCTGCCTCATGGAGATCAAAAGAAAATGAGGAAGAGGAGGAAGGCAGCTCCTCAGCCCCTAGCAGTGAGGATGAAGATGGAGAATCTGAGCCGGAGGAGCACAGCTCCAGCTCATCGTCCTCAGGGGACTCCTCTGACTCAGATTCCAACTGAGTTTTGCTTCACAGGCCTGAAAGGACAGAGAACTTTCCATCAAAAGTCCATGGCATCTTTCTCTAACTGAAGGGCTCTTCTGCCTATACCTTGTCTTTACTTTTCTCCTTTCCTTCTTTCTTCAACACAAAGTGGGACCTGTTGGAAAGAAGGCATCTTGTGCTATAATTTCTGGCCTCTCCATCTACCCCACGTTCACCCAGAGAGAAAGTCAATGCAATGACGCCTCATGGAATAAACCCAGAGCTGACTGGGCTGCAGGGCACCCTGGACTAGACTGAGCTGCCTGAACTGAAAAGGTTTGCTCTCCTCACCCTCTTCCTGCCAGGTGTGTGAGGGGCTCCAGGGGTCTGTGAGCCCCTTCTCTCTGACCTTGTCCCTCAGGACTCAGGCAGTGAGCTGGGGAGGGAAGATCTGACTGACTGGAAGTAGGAGACTTGCCTTAAAGAAAACTGTCAGGCCCTGATGTCTCTGTCTCTTCTCTCTGAGGTGAGGAGCTGGCCCTTCCTTACCTTGGAAGTGGGGCCGGCACGTGGGCAGCAGAATTTCTATATGTATTTTCATCCTTTTAGCTATCAGTGAGATTTTCTTACTGATTTCAAAAATTAGACATTTAAAACTGTTCCATTTGAATTAGCTTTTCCTTAAAGCCAGCATCCTTTGACTTTGCTACACTAATTTTCCAGGCCACATCTAAATTCCTGCTGGTTTCCGCCAAAACCCATCATGTGTTTACTGTGTGAAGTAAACTGCAAGTTGCTCACTCGTGCCTGACTATTTGCCACCCCATGAACTATACAGTCCATGGGATTCTTCAGGCCAGAATACTGGAGTGGGCATCTGTCCCTTCTGCAGGTCATCTTCCCATCCCAGGGATCGAACCTGGGATTGCAGGTGGATTCTTTACCAGCTGAGCCGCAAGGGAAGCCCAAGAATAAAGGAGTGGGTAGCCTATCCCTTCTTCAGTGGATCTTCCTGACCCAGGAATCAAACTAGGGTCTCCTGTTTTGCAGTCGGATTCTCTACCAACTGAGCTATCAGGGAAGCCCTTCATTTATTTGTATTATGTTATGATTCGTGTCAATGTATGGCAAAAAGCACTACAATATTGTAAAGTAATTAGCCTCAAACTAATAAAAATAAATGAAAAAAAAAGAGATTGTATTAGATAGGTGTTGTGTATAAGCGTTTTAGTCTACAGGTTGCTAAACTGGGAGTTTATGTAGCAGTATGACACTACTGTTATCATTTTGGTTTATTGATATATTTGAAAATATGTTTATATCCAGTGCCATCTCATTAAACTTACCCATTCTTCGATGTTTTCATTTTTGGTTCTCATGGACAATTAGTATCACACAGCTAGTATCACAATTAGTAAGTTGTGTTCTAACATGAGAAAAGAATTGAGTTTTGAGAATTCATCATACTCATTGATGTCTTAGTGAAATATTTTATCCTTTATAAATATACAGGCAGGGAACTACTGTACAGTACATGGAACTCAGCTCAATGTTATGTGGCAGCCTGGATGGGAGGGGAGTTTGGGGGAGAATGTACACATGTATAAGTACAGAAGAGTCCCTCCATCCACATTTTCATGAACTGGGAATAAAACTCCAGTCATAGTAGATCTAATTTAAGATTAGATTTAGTGTTTCTAAAATGACTGTCTCACAGTTCATTCACACACAAAAAGTCCTAAGAGGATTTCTTTCTTTTTGCCAAATCTAATTTATCTTTTTATTGAGATGTGAGCTAAAACCTATGGTCTGCAACAAGAGAAGCCACTGCAATGGGAAGCCAGCACACTGCAGTGAAGAGAGCCCCACTTGCACCAACTAGAGGAAGCTCCCGCTCAGAAGTGAAGACCAAGTGCAGAGGTTCTTGAACTCTCAGTCCTGGAGTCCTTCCTAGTTGTTCTGCCCCCTCTCTCCAGGAGTGGAGACCCCTGGTTCCTCTGGGGGCACAGGCCCTGGAGGTGAGGGGTGCAGACTCTGAGTGTACAGAGCAGCTCCGGGACCCCTGCAGCCCCCTCCCCCTCCTGCACATCCTCCAAGGGGGACTCTGGCCTGAGCAGAGCCTCACCTGCACTTTCCCAGATGGACCAGGTAAAGAAGCCGGTCTGGGGCCTCAGGGAACAGCTCCCTCTCTGGACAAAGCCACGCTGGGCTGTCAGAGTTTCAGTGCCTATGGAGGTGGGGCGGGGATGAGAACACAGAGCCCTGTGTTGCCCCCTCAAAGGTTTGCAGGGTCCCTTCCTGCCCTGAAGGAAGGTCCCAGCAGGCAGCCACCCCTTGAATCCAGGGCTGAGTTTACAGGGGCCCCACACCACTGTGGGCAGATTGGCCTTGGGTGGACAGAAGACCACCTCACTCCTGGGTCCAGTCCCTTCAGAAGCTGCCCGGATTCCTTGGTACCACAACGGTTTCTGCACCCTGGGGAATTTTGTGAGCTCCTGGAGAACCACGATTTTTAATCCCCAAACTTCTTCCTGGACCCTGAACTTTGGCTACTCCTGAGGATTTTCCAGAGCCAATGGAGCAGAAGACTTTTCCGCAGACCCTCTTGAGATCCAGTCCTTGGGAAAAGGGAGGTCTCTCCTACCACCAGCCGCTGGAAGCAGGTGTCTGAGATCCCGCAGCTCAAAGAGCTGGCTCCCCAGTCCCCTGGCTCATCCTACTTGCTGCTCTGTTCTGTCCAGGGGGCTTCAGAGAAGTGGGCCTGTCCACGGTCTGCTGCAGGAGACGTGACGCTCCTCACTGAGCCTAGAGCTGGAATTGTCGGAGCCGGGGTCTCTCAGGTACCTGGTTGGGGGAACCAGGAGCGGTGCCTACCTTCCTGTTGAACGTGGTCTTCACCTGCCTGCGACCTACATGACACTTAACCTTGAGTCACTCAATGTCTTTCCATAGATGGACTTATACATTTTGCTACATATTTTCCCAGAGAAAATATCAGAAAGCTAAAAGAAGTAATTTTGTTTTTCAAAATGTAACAAACAAACACAGTGATATCCAATGATGTATATATTTATTTCTGTTATTTCTTTCTTTAAACAATAACTACCACATTGCATCCAAATATAAACTCATGTAAACAACCAAATATCCATTTTCTCACAGATAAATTCAAATCCATTTGGGGGGTTAAATCTTTATGCCCAAGACGAACAATCTGAAATATTAACATTCTCACTATATATCTAGAAAAGAATAGTTAACTTTAGTTTACAAGACCTAAATAATAATAATAGAACGGTACAGATTAACACTCTTTTTGATTGATAATTTACATATTAAATGTAAATGCTCCTGAGAGCCAAGAACACATCAGTCAGTCTCCCTCCTAACAGCTTTTCAGTAAACACAAGATGTTCAATCTGACCTCAGGTTTGGGCTGTGGGATCCTTAGAGAGCAGAAAAGTGACAGATGGAAATACTGGAAAGTCCAGGCCACAGCATAAGTCACAAAATTTTCTGTGATTCTTTTGGCCTCAGAAGCAAAGACTCTGCAGGTTCACCTACCACATGGTTCCATGCTTCTACTGCAACCAGGGAGGACAGAGGAATCTGGAATCACACCCATCAGTGAGTTGTGTGTGTGTGTGTGTGTGTGTGTGTGTGTGTGTGTGTGTGTTGGGGCCAAGCACATTGGGAAGACTGGTTGGAATCACTGCCCTCCCTGACCTGCCCCCCACACCCAGGACCCTGTTTCCTTTGCTCAACCTGCTTTCAGTCTTCCCACACACATACACACTCTGGTTCTATGCTCTCTAATTTCTGGGTATGTTGTGCTGTGCAAGACTGCTGATCCTCTGGTCCTGTAATTCCATTCTCCATGCCCACTCCCTGCACTCCTGATTCAAGGTGTGGGATAGGACATGGGATCAGAGGGGTCTGAGGCCACTGCAGCCAGAGCAGGACCGACAGATGCTATACCTGCACTGTACTGTGTTGCCTGTCAAAATCTTGTTGTTGCTGTTGTTTAGTTGCTCAGTCATGTATGATTCTTCCCAGCCCCATGGACTGCAGCACATCAGGCTTCCCTGTCCTTCATTGTCTCCTAGAGTTTGCTCAAACTCATGTCCATTGAGTCAGTGATGCCATCCAACCATCTCACCATCTGTCACCCTCTTCTTCTCCTGCCCTCAATCTGTTCCAGCCTCAGAGTCTTTTCCAATGAGTCAGCTCTTCCCATCAAGTGGCCTAAGTATTAGAGCTTCACCTTCACCATCAGTCCTTCCAATGAATATTCAGAGTTGATTTACTTTAGGATTGATTTGTTTGATCTCCTTGAAGTCCAAAGGACTCTCAAGAGGCTTCCCCAGCATCACAGTTCAAAAGCATCAATTCTTCAGCCCTCAGCCTTCTTTACAGTCCAACTCTCATATCCATACATCACTAATGGAAAAACCATAGCTTTGACTATATGAACCTTTGTCAGCAAAATGAGGTCTCTGTTTTTTAATATGCTGTCTAAGTTTGTTAAAGTTTGTCTTTAAAGGGGAAAGCATTTTTTAATTTCATGTCTGCAGTCACTGTCTGCAGTGATTTTGGAGTCCAAGAAAATAATGTGTTGCTGATTTCATTTTCACCCCATCTATTTTCCATGAAGAGATGGAACCAGATGCTGTGATGTTTGTTTTGGAAAGTTAAGTTTTAAGCCAGCTTTTTCATTCTCTTTCACATTCATCAAAAGGCTCCTTAGTTCCTCTTCACTTTCTGTCATAAGGGTGCTGTCATCTGCATATCTGAGGTTATTGATATTTCTCCTGGCAATAAGTATAATTGTTTCACCTCCCTCTTGAATCTTCCTCCCATCTATTCCTCATTTCACCCCTCTAGGTCTTCACAAAGCACCAGACTGAGCTCCCTGTGTGATAGAGCAACTGCTCACCAGCCATCTACGTTACGTATGGTAATCTGAGCCACCAGGAAAGCCTGGCTCTAGGTTTATCCACCTCAGTTCAAATGACTCATTTCCACTTATTTTTTATA